AATCTGGTTATACTGTTTGAATGTCTTTTAATTGTCTTAATTTTTATATTCAACTTTAAGTCACTTTTTGGTTTTATTTATTACACCTTGTTTATGTACAAAATATGACCAAACGCACCCCCCTCCCGGTGACACGTGCAAAAGTGAAAGTTACAACTCTGTAGCACAGCACTATATTCCTCTTGCGAGTGCAAACCACCTGAGCCCCCTGTTTAAAGATATCTCCAGACTGCGCAACAGGATCATGTATCTGCAAGAACCAAGTCAACCTGTCTGCTGAATGGTGCCACTGCTCCTTATTTCCAAGATCATAGTGTGAGGCAACTGAAGATCGAAGCCTTTTCTCCTTCTGTTGATGGCTCTATTGACTTGGGCTTAGAAAAAATGAATCCACTGATGGTGAGGCTTTTTGATATGCAGAAAGATCTTCTGACAGTGACCCCCCCGCCTGGAAGAACTCGCAGCAGTTATGCTGAGGATCTGCAACAATATGTTGCAAGCCCAGACTGTCCGAAACCGAACAAGGCCAGCCAGGGCAGATATGGCAAAACAATGCTAAACAAAGCAACTCTATGTGGTTTAACAGATGGTACAAAGAAAAAGGTAGCTGGTATACCGGATTGGCTGGCTATATGGATACTTAGGGCAGCTTGCTATTGAATAAATATGCTGAAAAAAAAGATGTATAAAAGTCTGTGTAACTTCCTGCTCTGTGTGCAGGATTTGAGATTAATGTCTCCCTGTACCACTTGAAGCTCCCTGTACCACTTGAAGCTTCAAATAAACTTTTCTGCTTCTCCACCCCGTTGTGATTATTGGGCAACGCACACCGGGCAACGAACCCTGCTATTGCTTGCCTCGGGCACTCTGTGCCGGCAACAGCTTCTATATCTCCCCTCTCCCACTGCTCCCTGGCTCTGCTGTGTTGCATATTTTCCCCCAACTGCTGCAGGGCTGGCTTATCTGCCACCTTGTATGGGTGTGGAGCTGCTGTTGTGAACAGGATGCCAGCTAGGTGCTGCTTCTGGGCTTGCTTCAGTTTCCCTCTGGTCCAGGTCCCCTGCTTCTGCTCCCTTGCTGGCCAGTTGCCCCCCTTGCTTGCTTGCTGCTGCCCTCCAGGGGTTGCTCCCTAGAGGGGGAGTGAGGGACCCTGACCCTGCTGTTCCTGATACCACCTGAGGGCCATCTTTCTCCCCAACCCCCGCCACCACTGTTGCCCCCTCCACCACTCCTACCTACCATCTGCCGCCACTCCTGGACTCAGCTGCTTGCCATGCCATCATCTGGGACTGTTACAACAGCCAGCATAAGACTGAGTGTGCAAGCGCATGTGGGTCCACGTGCCTTCCCTTTGGATTTTTCCCCTGCCTTCCTCTGTCTCCCCCATTCAGTTAGGGTCTCACACATTCCCTGACCATCTTCTTGTTGCTAACATACCTGTAGAAACCCTTACTAGCCTTCACATCCCTTGCTAGCTGCAACTCCAATTGTGCCTTGGCCTTCCTGATTACACCCCTGAATGCTCAAGTAATATTTTTATACTCCTCCCTCGTCTGATCAGCCTCACTTCAAAAAGAGGCATAGGTAAAATTGAAAATTTCCAGATTGGTACAATGAAAATTTAAAGATTAAGATTAGTGTGAGGGAGATATGTAAAATAATGCATATGACAATTGTTAACTTGATGAGCCTGTGAGCCATGTCCCATAATATAAAAGTGATGGAGCACTTGATGGGATAGAAAGGAAATTACCTCCATTACAGTCTATGTAATCATCCTGTGGCATTCCCCAGTAGAAATAATTGAGGCAAACCAGATTTTTTGCAAGAAGGCATATTTTATCTTAAAGACAATCATTGCTGCTATGTTAGCTAGATGAAGAATCTACCAGCAGTGTTACTTGAAAACCAATTCTTATTTCATTCTTCTTTTCAAATACTGGGTGAAAAATGGACTATTTTCACTATTGTCTTAAGTATCAGTTATGGATAACTGCAAGAGGCAGGGTAACAGACTATAAGGATAGTGGGTGCTCTGTCACTGAAATGTTCCAATTCTCATGTTGTAGAGTCATTTTTATTAAGTTACTATTACTGGAACACAATAGGCTGCATAAACTGTCCAACTTTCCTTGGCCAGAGGGAGGGTTACAGTGATGTGGATCTTTGGGAGCACTATAAGGAGGTTAAATGAGATCCCAGAGGACACTTTCTCCAAGAAAATATAGTACCATCAGTTGTTTCTCAGGTGCTCCACATCAGTTCCTTCTAGGATTTCATATTTGAGGTGCTATCTTCCATGCCATAATAACTCTAAAAAGAAGGCTTTGATACTATGCACACACAGGTGTCATTGTTGCCTTGTGCTTCTCTTGTCTGTTTTATTTCTCTCTTGGCTTGTACTTAGACTGTAAGTTTTTCAGGGTAGAGGGTATCTTTTTGTTCTGTATTTGTATAGCGTCATGTCTACATGACTGGGGCCTCAGGAGCTACAACAAACCAACCTGAAACCAAAAAGCTCAAATTATGACCCTCCAGAGGAAGGTAGAAAAAGGAGTCAAACCTAAGAACAAGAGAGGAACAAGTTAACCCTATGTTAGTGTAAGCAGTGTCAGGATGAGCTCCACCCTGACATCTGGCGGTGAGGTGTGGCAAGTTGTGAAAAAACTTCAGGGGCCGATCTCATTTGCATAGGCACACCCACCCCGCCTAGAATGAGGCCATAGCTGCCGAAATGGTCACTTTGGCTGCTGTGGGATCCCCAGTGTCTCTGTTATTGGGGCAGGAAGAATAAATTATTACCCTGATTATGGGAACTGTGCTTGGAACTGTACTTGGCCTTTTGTTATGATGGAGGGACTCACCATCAACTAAGGAGCACTCGCTAGGCAAGGGTCATGGGTTCCAAAACTCTGTGACTTGAGAGAGGCTGGGGACAAGTATTAATACTTGGTGGCATGGGTTCCTTGGTGAGGGCCTTACATGCTAATTGCACTTCCTCCTCTCTCCACTATGGAATATCAGAGCTAATTTTGATTTCATTAGAAGTCTAGTTACAGGCTGCTGAGCTCACTTTGGGCTAACAGTGCACCAGCATTGAGGCTCCCCTACTACAAGCTGAATTCACCAAAGAGCTGAACTGACTAAGAGCTGAAATCACTGAGCGTTGTGTTAGGTAGTGGGGGAGCCTGAAGATATAATGTGGAGCAGTTTGCGGGATGGCTGGGAGCTGCTGGTGGGCCGCAGAGCGGAGCTGAGCGAAGGAGTTCATGGGGTGGCTGGCGGAGTGGAGCGAAGGCCTATGGAGCGGTCAGCTTCAGATCATGTAAGGTGCCTCTTACCCCTGTCCCATCTCCACCCAGGTTGGGAGGTAAAGCTCCACAGATAAACTTTCGAACTCTGGGGCTGCCCTGACCAGGGACAGAGACTTTTGGGTCATGGGACTTTTGGCACGTTGGGTGATTTGGGGTTGCTGGACTCAAGAACCAAAGGGAAAGGGACATGCCCCAATTTGCTTGGGGTGGGTTTTTTTGCTAATGGGTTGTGTTATGAATCCTGTTGGTGGTGTTTCCCCAACATAATGCCACATTGTTTCTCTCTGTTATTAAAAGGCTTTTTGCTACACTGAGACTATGTGCTTGTGAGAGGGGAAGTATTGCCTCTTGGAGGTGCCCAGCGGGGGTTGGATATATTTGTCCCAGGTCACTGGGTGGGGGCTCGAGCCGGTTTGCATTGTGTTATTGGAACGGATCCCCTAGATATTGAACCCGGCCCTTGTTGCTGCTAACTCTGACGGGCAGAAGGGTTACATTAGGTATAAATAAGTAAGGAATGTGGGTACTGTTTAATGCGTTCAATTAGCTGTCTCAAGTGTATTTATGAGGAAATGTTATGTTATGAAATTTATGAGGAAACAGATTTCATTTCACTGTTTTAATGAAATCCAGCATGGAGTATATGAACTGTGACCCTCAGACTCCATCTTTGTAAGCTGACTTCTTTACAGTTAAGACATGGGATTCCCTTGGCTCAAACTGGACAGAATCAGCTTTTCCCACTAGAGCCAGCCCCCACCATTCCATTCCCTCAGAACTTTTCCTGCCATAGAGACTATTGTGACAAAGCTCTGTCCTTGCCTCCGTGGGTCCCGCGTTTCCTGGCAGATTTCGCTAGCCTCAGAGGCTCACTGTGACCCTCCACGTAACCCTTCTCTCTCTAGAGACAAGGGTCACAGTCTACTGATCCATTTTCATCATACTCCAGTGAGGGAGGTGAGGTTATCTTTCCTTGCACAGTTTCTGTTGTCTCCCAGGCTCAGTGATTAATCAAGAGGCAAAGGTGGGTGAGGGAGCCCGGGCCCACCCTCTACTCCAGGCTAGGGACCCTAATAGTATCAGCTATGGTAGCTGACCTTTTAGAAACATGACGTACAATTCCCTGGGCTACTTCCCCAACAGCAGCCCTCACTTCCTCAAGATCCACTTCATCCTTACCTCAGGGCCTCCTTCCTTGTGCCTGATATGGTGTGTACTACTCAGCCTCTCCACCAGCGCAACTTCCTCCCACAGCTCCTGACATGCACACCCATCTGACTAACTGCGAGGCTTTTAACTAGTTTCAGCCAGCCCCTGATTGGCTTCAGGTGTCCCAATCAACCTAGCGTTCTCCCTGCCTTCTGGAAAGTTCTTAATTGGCCCTAGGTGTCTTAATTGACCTGGAGCAACTGCCATTTCACTTATCCTGGTACCAGGGATTTGTTTAGCCTGGAGCTAATATATCTATCTCCCACTACTTTTCCATAGTCATCTGGCCTTGCCCCGTCACACTATATAAGATCTTGCTCAGCACCTTCGCAGTGCTTTCCATTCCAGCAGGAGCGCGTGTATGGTCGGGTCTTCCCAACGCTCCAGAGCCAGTGAGAAAAACACCATCTATCCCATAGCGAGACGAGGAAGGAGAGGCCTAACATTGACATCCCCACCACAGCAAATCCACCTTACCTGTGAAGGGTCTTGCTGTTTTCCTGGTGATCAGCATCCCCGAGGGTCTCCCCACCTGCAACAAAGCCCATCAGTTGTCGGGACTCCCCAGTGGTCCTCCTCGAAGGCTCCCAATCAGCCAGAGAGTAGAAGGTCCTGGGCCTCGCATCCGTATATTGTGTCCACTGCACCTAGAAATAGTAGGGAAAGGTTTCTGTATTGGGGTTATCTGTTGTATTCTCAAAAACCAAGAGAAGTTTTGTGGGTCTGAGCTTCAAGCTCCTAAACCAGTCACTGATTCATTGTTTGTTTCTCCCCCTGTTTTACCCAGTTTCTGTACCTTTACCCTTAAAAGACTTACCTTTGTTGGACCATGTTACTTTGTCTTCTCTTAGTTTTCACTGCACCACACAGGGAGGGAGGGACACACCTATTGTCAGCTAATCTAACTGGTGACAGACACGGAAGAGAGTTGAGTCTGCTCTTCTGAGAAAAGGGGCTTTCCGTTTCTATTTCCCCTTCCTCTACCATTTCTAGAGTTTTCCCTTTGAAGCGTTACCTTATTCCCCTTGAGGTAACACCTAAGTAAAAAAAATATATATATAATATATGCATGCTTTTTTGTGTGTATGCAGGGCTGAAATCTGAAGACAGGTACAAAAGGGGTCTGCTTATATGTATGACACCCTTACCTTTTAATTCACCAAAACTGCAATGATATTATTAAATTAAAAAGCCTATGCAAAGATTTCAAGAGGATGTTGAACACATTGGCCTCAAAAACAAATTGCCTAAATAAAAGGCATGGTATAACAAGATACTTTTGTATATGATTTTTGGAAAAAAACCTTTAAGGTCTTATGGTAATGATGCTTCTCAGCTATTAGCTGTGAATAAACTTAAAGCTGAACAGTGGGATAATTCACCCTCTACCCTTAAAAGGTAGAACACATTGAAACCTGGCCTGCCTATAGAACAAAAACACAGGAAAGTATGTGGGTAATTCCTCTTTTTTTGCCTGTAATCAGCAATGGTATTTGTAAAAGAAAGGGATATTTTAAGCAATAATCTGCCACCCCAAAAGGGGTAGAAACATGTTTCTTTTGTCTTTCAGAAAATCCGGAAAAGCTGATACCAGCTTAAGAGCAACCCAGAATACATGAATCTACTGTCTTGACAAAAATTGTGTATTGTGTTTTGTCTTGTTGCTAGCATTGTTGTGTATTGTGATACCAAAAAAACCCTACTGCATTAGGCAGAAAAGGATTAATAAGCATGTTAACTGTATTTACAGAAACCAATGTTGCAGAAGGGTGGAGGTCAAGGAATGCCAGTCTGCTAACAGGGAAACATCCTCAGGTAGCACACTCCATATTAGGAGGGATTGGTTTTGGAGCAGGGATTAGGAATACTGTAGACCTGGAGGTAATTAAGAATAAGTTAAGTTCCTTATCACAACTGCAAGATAGTCTCATTCACAAGCAGGTAGATATTACCGTGGACTTGGTACAAATTGGTCTGGAAAACCTAAAAGCAATATGGAATATGTGAAAAGAAAAGGAGTTCTTGTGGCACCTTAGAGACTAACCAATTTATTTGAGCATGAGCTTTCGTGAGCTACAGCTCAGCTCATGCTCAAATAAATTGGTTAGTCTCTAAGGTGCCACAAGAACTCCTTTTCTTTTTGCGAATACAGACTAACACAGCTGTTCCTCTGAAACATGGAATATGTGGTGATGGTTAAACACCACCACCTGGCTGCTATATAAACAACAAATAAAATTAGGGAATAAAACTGCCTTGGCCATAGGATGTACTGAGATGCAAATTCTTAGTTTAACATCACTTGAACACAAAATGTTTTGGGTAATATCTGGAAATGTTAGGGTATTAACGCATCTTTTAAAAAAACGGAAGAGGTCCTTGTTCAACACCTACAAATATGAATGGATGCAATATGTTTCCAGCATGGTTAAGACTGATTTGCTATTAGGTGAAATGTATTGTTAAAATTGCTCACAGACAGTCTGTGGAGACAGAAATATGGAAAGTGAGCCTGCTCCCAATATTGACCCTGAGATCCTTTTGGCTACCCTGGGTTATGGGTCAGTGGACTGGGATAGAGGAGAAATTATTGGATACCGAGGGTGTACGGAGTGGAGCCCTCAAAATGGGTGTGCTTGTCCCTACCTGTCACCACAGAACCATGTAGTAGGGATACATCATTGGGAACGTGTGTGGGACGAACTAGAAAATGTTACTTGTGTTTTGTACAATGCACTATGTGTTACATCCCGGGAAACTGTATTTTGGGAAGATGAAAGTATCAGCTAACCCCCAGTGGATGAATGTAGATGTAATGCCAGCGTATTATATACTAGTAATCACACATACTATTTACGTGTGTGTGTAATTTCTGTTACCCTTGGTCTGGATTGGCACAATATAACTGATCACTTGTTGTGAGAAACAAAGGTGACTCAATTTTTACAACAGACACAGAGGGACATAGGGAGGCATGTTGTCATAAATATAAAGGGAAGGCTAACCATCTTTAAATCCCTCCTGGCCAGAGGAAAAACCCTTTCACTTGTAATGGGTTACGAAGCTAAAGATAACCTTGCTGGCACCTGACCAAAATGACCAATGAGGAGACAAGATACTTTCAAAGCTGGAGGGGGTGGGGAAACAAAGGGTTCTCTCTGTCTGTCTGTGTGTCTTTTGCCGGGACCAGAGCAGGAACGCAGGTCAGAACTCCTGTAAAGGGTTAATAAGCAATCTAGTTATATATGCGTTAGATTCTGTTTTGTTTAAATTGCTGATAAAATAAGTTGTGCTGAATGGAATATATATTCCGGTTTTTGTGTCTTTTTGCAACTTAAGGTTTTGCCTAGAGGGATTCTCTGTTTTTAATCTGATTACCCTAAAGGTATTTATCATCCTGATTTTACAGAGGTGATTCTTTTACTTTTTCTTCAAATAAAATTCTTCTTTTAAGAACCTGATTGCTTTTTCCTTGTTCTTAAGATCCAAGAGTTTGGGTCTGTGTTCACCTATGCAAATTGGTGAGGATTTTTATCAAACCTTCCCCAGGAAAGGGGGTGTAGGGCTTGGGGGGATTTTGGGGGGAAAGATGTTTCCAAGTTGGCTCTTTCCCGGTTATGTTTTGTTAGACACTTGGTGGTGGCAACAATAAAGTCCAGGGACAAAAGGTAAAATAGACCAAAGATGAGAGTCCCTATCTTAAGCAATGACCTAAGACACTACCTGGAAAGTCTCACTCTTTGGGGCTGTAAATCTTACTTTTAAGGACAGCCAACCCTTGGTATTTCTACATGTCAGTCCCAGGATATTGGAGAGACAAGGTGGGTGAGGTAGTATCTTTTATTGGACCGACTTCTGTTAGTGAGAGAGACATTACCTCACCCACCTTGTCTCTTCAGAATTTGTATAAGTATGTTCTTCATTGTAAAGAAAATCCTCCAGGGAATCCGCTCCCTTTTCAGTCCCAACAACTAAGTTCTGTAAATTTTTAGTCTTTTATACAGTAGGTCATGAAGAAGTGGCTGTTGGTTTGCCTCTCTCACACACTACTTTCAGGGTGATATTCTCAGAGGCAGACTCAACTCTGTCTTTCTCCACCAGCAACTTCTTCTCCTGGGCTTGTGTCATGATTGTTTCCTGAAGAGCACTGTAGTGTGATACAGAAAATATGAAGTTGAATAATCATATTAGACATTCACATATAGGCCAGAATCTTGGCGTAACTTGCCTTAAGTTCTGCCAAACAACAGATGTTGCTTCTGTGTTTTACACAGAGAAGAAGTAGGTTGTGTAACTCTAACTAGGTAGGCTTAACCACAGACTCTTGCTAAGTTGTGAAGAAACTTCCCCTTTTACATTTTTCTTCTATTCTGTACACTTATAGATTTGTAATACAGCTATAGCAGAACATGCTACACTGTTTGGTATAGTATCATAAGGTATAACATTATTAGACAAAAATCTGAAGGTATCAATTAAGATTTAATAAACTATCAGAAAACTAAAATTCTGTAAAGACATTCTGTAGCAGACCCCCTTCAGTTTGAGAAAGTTTCATTAGCTGACCACAAAACATTGCAAGTAGTTCAGATCATGCTTTCTATTTTGTGTAGAAGTAGAGCAATATAAAATATATAACTGATCTTTAACAAAGATAAACAAGTTATTTGTATTAAAGAAGCTGATATATTCAGGTGGTAGGTTGAGAAACCAATGTGTAAATCTTTAAGGTGAACAAAATATTAAGGCCTACATGACCATAATGCCTGATCAACTGTATAATTGGCTGTCACACAGAAAGAGTTCCCCTTTGTGTGTCTGTGCATATATACCTTCTACTGTAGATGTATGTTAGGGTTGCCAGGCATCTGGTTTTCAACCAGCACACCTAGTCAAAAAGGGACCCTGGTGGCTCCGACCAGCATTGCTGACCAGGCCGTTAAGTCTGGTTGGCAAAACAGCGGGGCTAAGGCACACTCTCTGGTTCCGTGCAGCTCCTGCCTGCCCTGGCACTGTGCAGAGCTGCCTGGCTGTAACTCTGCCTAGGGGCTGGACATGGCGGCCGCTTCTGGGAGCAAAACGGAGCCAGAACAGCCCCGCTGCGGGAGCTGCCTCAGGTAAGTGCTGACCAGCTGGAGCCCTGAACCCCCTGCCCCAGGTCAGAACCCCTCCCGCACCCAAACTCCCTCCAAGAGCCCACACCCCCCTTTCGTGCCCCAATCCCCTGCTCCATGTCAGAATCCCCTCCCACACCAAACTCCTTCCCAGAGCCTGCACCCCAGCCCTGAGCCCCCTCCTGCATCTGAAGCCCCTCATTTCCAGCCCCCCACCCCCGAGGCTACAGCTGCAGCTCACACCCCCTACTGCACCCCAATCCAATGCCCCAGCCCTGAGCCCACTCCTACACTCTGAACCCCTCAGTTCCAGCCCGGAGCCCACTCCTGCACTCCAACCTCATCCCTGGCCCCACAGCAATCCAGAATGCCGATGGCAATGGAAAAAGTCATGTACTTGGGTATACAATTAGGCATGCATGGAAGGAGACCTGATATGCAGCAGATTGAGTTAATATGTAAACTCCCAGAACCTCAGGATATCTCTGCTCTAAGATCCATTCTGGGACATAATGGCTTTTCAAGGGAATTTG